ATCCCAAGTGGGGTCATGAAGAATCAGACACTACTGAAAAACTAACTAATATGCATTGTTTTATTGGGAATGTCAAAAGGACTAGAATAGATGACAGATACAGAAATAAATAGTGGTAAATTTCTCTTAAATTCTTATCCACAAGGAGGAAAAAATAAACACCTAAAATTAGAAAACTGAAGGTAATCTGCCTCCTATAAACACCATGAACCATAGTGTAAACAAGGTAAGAAGGTTAGAAATTGAAACCGATTTCACTGGTGTAGGAAACACCCAAATGAGGAAACTCTCCACCAATGCAGGTTAACACCTTCTCTGCAATTTATGGTCTTCTGTGAATTTGGTTTTTTAAAATATTTTGATAACTGTATTTCAATAGAATTTATTTCTTTTTTGCAAATTCTACATTTGTTTAAACATTTAAAAACATTTTTTCTGCGAAAGTGTCCATAGGCTTCACCAAGGCTACCAGATGACACAAAAGAGGTGAAGAACCCAGGAGATAAGTGACTTTCCTAGGATGACACAGTCAATATGTGTTACAAGTGGGGCTTGAAGTCAGAACTTCCTGCCTCCTAGGCCAGGTCTCTATACATTATGTCAAGACATAAAATAAAATAACATACAGGTTTTCTTATCATAATCTTCCATTAACTGTGTACTTATTGCTGAAATCTATAAGCTATGTAAATAACACTTTATTACATATTTTCATTTTGGCCTTAAGTATTTTGATTTTGATATTTGATACTAGTTTTAAGTTGATGTAGTGAACAGAGGATGAACCTGGAGTCAGGACCCAAGTTCAAACCTGGCCTCAGACACTTACTAGTTATGGTATTCTGGACAGGTCATTCAACTCTGCCTGCCTCAGTTGCTTTATCTGTAAAATGGGAAGAAGAAGAAGAAGAGAATACCTACCTCCAAGAGTTGTTATGAAGAACAAAGGAGATATTTTTAAGTGCTTTGCAAGCCTTAAAGTGATTTATAAGTGCTTTGTTATTCATTCAGTTGTGTCTAACTCTTCTTGATCCTGTACACCATAGCACACCAGTACTGTCCATGAGATTTTCTTGGCAAAGATATTGCAGTGATTTGCCATTCCCTTTGCCAGTGGATTAAGGCAAACAGAGTTGAAGTGACTTGCCCAGGGTCCCACAGCTAGTCTGAAGTCAGAGTTGACTTTGATCTTCCTGACTCTGGGTGCACTTGGCCACTTAGCTGCGTCTTATAAGTGTTAGCTATCATTAATTAAAAATCCACAATGACACTGGTGTGGGTTCTCCCATTAATAATCCAATTGGAGCCCTGCTAATCCTTAGTACACAGTCTCTTAAGGGTCTATAGTGAAAATAATTCACCATATGGTAGCCAGGCTTCTGGAGGGTAGCTGGAATGCACCTAAAACATCATTTATCCAGTCTATTCTCTTTCATTTTACAAATGAGGAAGTGAGGCCCAAAAAATGAGTTGATTTGCCCAAAGCTAATTCATATCAGATTTGAGACCAGAACATAAATCTTCTGGGTCTTCCCCCTGCCCCCTCCAATATTGTGCTACATCTTGGCCCACCCTCTTCCCTTCTCCTTGTCCTCCTCTCTCAAACTGTCTCTCAGCAATCCTTCAAAAACTCCCTTTGTAGAAGGAAACTGTACCCTCCAACCCTGATCTCTGGTCATCCTGATTTATATCTTGTCACTGGACCTAGATGACTCCAGAGGAGAAAGTGAGGCTGGTGACTTTGCCCAATCCACTTGCATGTCATGGCATCACCTCCTTGATGTCATGGTCCTCTTGGAGAACAAAAAACAGACAACCACAGCAAGCTACATCTTGATACTCAGTAAAACTCAATAATTCATATGCTCAACTAATGGTTACTAATATTACCAAGGAGATCATTGGATGTTGAAAGATTAGCCAGCAGGAGAAGTTTCATTTCAGAGGCAGCAAAGAGTAGTGTATGAAGGTCCAGATTTGGGGTGGGATAGATCTGATTCCACCCTGGTCACAAACTGGCCATGGAACTCTGAGCAAATCATTACTGTCTCTAAATGAGGGATTGGAGTAAATGGTCCCTATGATTCCTTCCAGCTCAAAATTTATGGTCCTGTGATCCTATTTGATGTGAAAGACAAGAGCTAGGTGACAGTGGGTACAGGAGGGACTGAATCTGTGTGAATTAAAATTTTGCCATCAGGGGGAGCCAATGGATTCACAAACCACAAAACCTAAAAAACGAAAGGAAGAGCTGTCTCTTTGTAATTATTAACTTAAAGCAGAGCCTGGCCAAGAGTGAATAGTTGCCTTGTCAGGTTGAGATATACTCGAAAATGAAATTTCTCAGAAAAAAAAATTAGGGAAGAAAAAAGTTCTGGAAGCATAGTTTTCTGTGCCATTGAAACCAGAAGTTGACTGATATTTGAATACTGGCAGTCATATTTGACAAAGATGAGTAATCTAGCAACAGAAACAAGAAAACTTCATTAAGGATAAAACCAAGCACAGGGATCCTGTTACTTTGATTCCTGCCCCCTCCCCACCATGTCAATAGACATACCCTGTATATATATTAATAGATAACATTTAGCAGGGTTTTAGTCACATTATCTCGGATGAGCCTCACAAAAGCACTGAGATGCATACTACAAGGATTATCATCCTCATTTGAAAATTAGGAAACTGAAGCTAAGAGAATCACAGAATTTCAGAGTTGGAAAGAACCCCGTAGACCATTTGGTCCAGCCCATGTCTCGACAAAACTTTATCTACCATATAACCAATAAGATGTTAGCCCTTAAGCTCTGGTTCTAAAAGAGAGGGAAAATGTAGAATAGTCCGGCCCCCATCTAGCAGAGTAATAATTACAGTTATCTGCTCTCTGTCTCAAAATGGCTTCATGGCAGTGGTAGGATGCTACTTATTCTTTTTTCCTTCATTAAATATTAGGACCCTTGGTCCACACCGTTCTCCTTTTGTTCTCCATGAGGAGGTCCCAGGTTGGGGTAAGAAGGAGGGGGCTGTGAGCTGTTGAGCCGAGCTACTGTGATATGCAATAACCAACATAATGAATAACATATATATAGGCTAAACCAAGGCAACCAATTTTGTGGACACTTGATTCCCTATCTGATTAGCCCACGCTTAAAAAAGATCATGGAAGGTCCACAGAATTTAGAACTGGAAAGGGATCTCAGAGATTATTTAATCCAATTTACTCAATAAGAAAACTGAGACTCTACAAGGTTAATTGACTTGTCTAGGGTCACATAGCTAGTAAGTATCTGATGATCATTCAACTGGTAGGTATTAAGGCAAGATTTGAACTCAGGCCTGCCCAATTCCAAGACCAACAGTTTGTGACATCTACCCCTTATCCAACAGATGAGGAAATGGAGGCCCAGCCTCCTGCCCCTTACACAACCAGACAGTATCAGAATCAGGACTGGAACTCAGGTCTTCTGACTCTAGAACCAGGATTCTTTCTAAGACACCATGTGTCCTCAGCTTTTCCTATTTTGATTCCATTAGATTGTAAACTCCTTGAAGGCAGGAATTGTCTTTTGCCTCTTTTTGTATTCTTATCACTTAGCACGGTGCCTGGTATATAGTAGGCACTATTAAGTATTTATTGATTAATAGATTCATTTACTGAGGCTTAAACTGAGCAGCAAGAGGAAAGAAGTTCTAACTCTAGGCAAACATCTCTCTTATTGAATGCAAAAGGCATGAGGAGGACATCTGTCCCATTCAATGTCAGGAAGTCAAGACTGGAATACAACAAGCCCCCTTTTACTGTCCCTGGCATTTTTGAAGAAAGCTCTAGGACATAAGAAAAGCACACTCCAAAATCTAGCAGCACCAAAGCAAAAACTTAGCTCCATGTGATCATGAAGGCATCTGTCTTCACCTAACGTAATCCATATCTTCACTATCCTCTTTCTCTTCCAGTGGATGCTTTTGTAGGGTGCTTCTCCCTCTGACCTCTCAAATGTGAAGACACGTTGGGCAGTGACCACATTGAGTATAACAACTTTAGGTGAAGAAGGGGAAAATATGTTGTATGAATTTGAACTGTTTTATTTAGACTTTACCTTTTTACTTGGCCCTCACATAGTTCTTTGCAATAGGGACACATAAAAATCAACCAAATCACCAATATCAGGGAAGGGGGAGGATAAGCAACATAATTGATATTCCCTGACTTTTGCATTTATAAATAAATAAATGGAGACCATAATGGCGTGAAGACAAAAAAAAAATTTCATAGAATCAGAGAATTTCAGAGGCAGAGGGATCTTGGAGAATCACCTAGTTCAACCCCATCATTTTACAGATGAGGAAGTATGGCCCAGAAAAGCAAACTGACTCAGAGAATCTTGGATTTGGAATTAACCTCAGAACTCATTAAGTCAAACCAAGACCTGCCTGAAGCATGAATCCTTTCTACCATATCTCCAGTGAATGACTATGATGCCTTCATTTAAAAAACTCCAGAGATACCTTCATATCTCCAATGGCAGCCATTTGGGAACAACTATAATTATTAGGAAAGTCTTAAGTTGAATTAAAATCAGCTTTCCTGTAACTTCCATTCATTGGCCCTAGCTCTTTCCTCTGGCACCCTGAGGAATAGAATTTAATCTTCCAAATGACAGTTACCTTTCAAATATTTGAACAGTTAGAGATCATCTAAGTAATTAATATTGTATCTATTTTTTTCACAGTTCTATCCAATACATTTCAATTTTCATTCTTTTAAGGTGATATAGGATCATAGATTTTGGTCTAGAAAGGGAAGGTATGGGTTATGCATTGATATTTGATGTAGTTTTTAAATCATGCAATTATTAACAGTTCTTATGGCCTTCAATTGCCTAAAGCCTCAGTTTGAAAAGCCCTTCATTTTGGAGACATCTTCCCAAATGGCTTTGCCCTAGACTTTGTTCTAAGTAGGGTCAGAAAGATTAGAATACCCTTGCTTTGAAGAAAATACTTACACAGTAATTCAGTTTCTTTCCAAAACTACGAAAGTCGTCAATGAAGCCCATCTCTTTGTTTGATGGAAACGGAAGGTGCCCAAGAACGTCTTCCATGAAAAAGGAAAGCAGTTGCTCTCGAAATTGGCAGCTTTTCTATAAACCAAGTAAATGAGGCATTGCATTAAGCTTACCACTGATGGCCAGTTCTTGCCCTTATGACACCCCTCCAATCAATACTTCACTGGGAGACTGAAGGAACAGGCACTGATCTCCTAAGAAGTATCAAGTTTTGCCTGGATCCTGCCCTAGCAACACCCTTCTAGTCGTTAGGGATTGCTTCCCTTGTGGGATTGAAGGTTAGATGATTAATTCTCTAAATACCAAACAAATAGAAAAATAAAATAAAAGAAAGGACTCCCAGGCTTACCATGAACAGACTTTTGGTTTTCTTTTTTAGCAGCTTTGTGTTTTTGATGCTGTCTGCCTGCAATGGAACAAATTGAGATGAGGTCTACCCAGTACATACCATGATGTCTGACAATGTTCTGGGTCATTGTTCATTCAAGCAAAGTTTAATACTCACTGGTACAGATGCTTTGAATCTCATGGCCTTGATGAAGAGGATGTCAATCACTCTGGATAGGGTTTCTTTATGACAGCAGGCCGTAGTGGAACTAGGTGGTTTGCTTTCAACAATGACCAAATGCAGAATGATAAAAAGCAGCCCAGAACGCAAAATATAATGCACTTGCATTTCCGCACCACCACCACCACCACCCCAACCCAAAACACACACACAGACACTGGCCTTGTGTCACTCTTAGCAGCGTGAGTTACTTCAGGTTGGTTAGATGATAAAGGATAACCTACATATGTAAACTCCCCTCCCCACCAAGCTTCTCCAATGAGATGCAGCTAAAGATAACTTCGAGCTTGTAAATAGGAAGATCACTCTCGTTGCTCGCTCTATTTTTATACAACTTATTTCACAATCAAAAAAAAAAATTACTGATCTCACCATACGTGGCAGTTAGGTAAAAGCCAACTCTAAATTTACTGGTAATGGTCAGGCCATCATTTCCACAAAATGAGGGTTTTTAACGGCATTCTGTAAAAGACGTCATTGTTGTAAAAGCCTTGTACACATCACTCAAAAAAAGAGCCACGCAAGGAGGCCACACGATGATCAAGAAATGCCACACACAATCTAGAGTTGACCAAATCGGACAACAACCTATGAGTTTCCTTCCAAGTCAGAGATTCTCAAAGTCTGTGAACTACTACAAAGGGAAACCAGGAAAAATCTACCCATTTGTAGTCCCAAGTGACAAAACCCAGACAGCTTCACCTTTCTCTCTCTCCATATTCCAGGAGTATGGAATCTCAACTTTGGAAGGGATCTCAGAAACCATCAGGGGTTCCTAACCTTTGTTACATTATAGACCTCTGGTAGTTTAATGAAGTCTTCTGACCACTTCTCAGAATCATGTTATTAGAAATAGTAAGTAAAATACCGGGATTACCAAAGAAACCCATTATATTGAAATAAAATCACCAAAAAACACAAGTTTTTGGACCCCAGCTTAAGAACCATTGACCTAGTCCAAAATTTACCAGAACAATAATCTTCTCTACATGCTTTCAATAAAGATTTGTGCGATTTTTGTCGGGACGCTTCTAAGACAATTCCAAAGGACCCATGATGAAAAATGCTATGCACTTCTAAAGAGAGAACTGTTGGATTCAGTGCAAATAGAAACATACTTTTTTCACTTTTATTTTTCTTGCCTTTTTTTTCAACATGGCTAATATGGAACTACATTTTGCATATTTGTATGCATGTTGTTGTTTAATAAGTTTTCAGTTGTATCCAACTCTTCATGACCCCTTTTGGGTTTTTTTGTTTTGGTTTTGGGGGGTTTTTTTGGCAAAGATATTGGAAAGTTTTGCCATTTCCTTCTCTAATCCATTTTACTGATGAGGAAACTGAGGCAAACGGGATGAAGTGACTTGTCCAGGGTCACACAGCCAGTAAGTGTCTGAGACCGGAGTTGAACTCAGGTCTTCCTGACTCCAGGTCCAGTGCTCTACCTACTATACCACCCAGCTGCCCTGTTTACATGCATAATTGATATCATATTGCTGCCCTTCTCAATGAGTGGGGGAGGGCCTAGAGGGAGGGAGAGAATTTGGAACTCAATTCTATTTAAATGAATATTAAAAATAAATAAATAGAAATTGAAAAAGAAGACCTCTAAGAGAAAGTGGTCCTTTCCTCTTCTTTCCAAGATAGTCATTGTACTTTGGAATCATTCTGATTATCTGTACATTTTCCTTAAATTAAAACAAAATCTATCTTTCTGTAACTTTTACCCATTACTCCCAGTTCTTACCCCTGAGGTCAAGCAGTACAAGGGTAAACTCTTTCTACATGCCACCCCTTCAAACGCTCAAAGCCAACCACTAGACCCCACTATAATCATCTCTCTCCAGAACTAAATCTCCTCAGCATCTCCAATTGATGCTCCTAAGACAGAAAGACATTCAAGGCCCTTTGCCATCTTCATCACTCTATTCTTTTCTCAAGAAAAGAGCTTTACTTTTTTTAGATGCCACAACCCCTGTGACCTAGCAAAAGAGAAATATTTCCTGCCCTACTTGAAAAGGTTGTGAGGCCCTGAAACATAAATACCTAAAATATGTCATGATTTCTTTAGCCCTGGTGTAATAGTCTATAAATTAAAGGGTTTTTTTTCCTCCTACGTGTTCCTTCTAACATAAGGCCCAGACTTTTCCCCTAGCCTTCTCTCCATACCATGAGAAGCCTCTCTATCAACTAGTATTTCCATTAATTCATTCAAACAAATTATATCAAATGCCACTAGGTTTAAAAAAAAAACACTATACTAAAAGAGAGATAAAGATTAATATGACATGGCCCTTGCTATCAAAGAAGTTGTCATCTAAAAAGGGGAATAAGCAGGGATATGCTATAAATGTTTAACAACCAACTCTCCAAGGGAAGAAATGTACACAGAACAGACTTTTGAGCTTAATACATATTATTAACATTTTCTCCATCACTTTCTTAAGTCTAAACAATCAACAGAACAATGAATCAAGCCATGATTTCAGCATTTGCTGGTTTACTAGATGTGAATGTTCACACTGAAAATTTAACAGTTGGCTGATGGAATACAAACTGTCCCAACAGCAGAGGTGTTCAAGCGGAGATGGAACGGTTACTTGTCAAGGATGTCATTGAAAAGATTAAAGCTTCAATTAAAGAGTTGGAGCAGGGAGCTCTGAGGTCCCTTTCACCTCTGGGATTCTACAATGTGAAAAAGTAATCACATCAACAAAACATAGATTTGGATAGATTATACATACAGATTCCAGTCATGACTGATTTAACAAGCATATGAAATCTTTCACATCTAGAGGTATATTTTGTCTCCCTTCACAACGGTTGTGTTGTAAGGTCATACAGTAATTCCAATAATACTTCCACTGATTAAAACATTTTCTGGAGCACCTTGGGAATTGACCTCAAAAGCTGAGCAAACTCTTTTTTGTATGTCTTCAGTGTTGACAAATGTTCCTCCTTTGAAGATAAATTTCATTTTGTGAAATGTGACGAAGTTATTCAGGACCAAGTCAAGTAAATGAGGGGAATAATCAAGTTTGGGCATAGATTTTTGAGATTAAGAAATAAAACACAAAACATGGATTGTAAAACCATCTTCTTGTGTTATTGATTCAGTAAATGGCTCGAAAGTGAATGCTAAGGAATGAAAACATTGTTAGAATAAGCCTACCACCTTTCAATGTGATTACTTCAAAGAACAGTTTTCACATGGTCATGTGAGTTCTGGTACCCTTTCCAGCCATATTGTATAGAAAAGTTTATATGGAGCCATTAGTAGAAATTTTCTTCTCAAGCTGATTTACAGTTAATATCTCACAACTAACAGATGTATTTTGAATGCTCAAACACACATTAAAGGTCAACATGAGTTTTCCCTTCCTCTGAGGAATGATTGAAGGAAATTACACTTAGCTTAAAAAGATGAAGCCTGGGGCAGCTAGGTGGTGCAATAGATAGAGAGCACCAGCCCTGGAGACAGGAGGACCTGAGTTCAAATTTGACCTCACGCACATAATACTCACTAGCTGTGCGACTCTGGGCAAGTCATTTAACCCCAATTGCCTCACATTAAAAAAAAAAAAGATGGAGCCTTAGTGGGGATGTGCTCAAATATGAAGATGTAGTCATAGAGTCACAGATTCACAGCCTCTTTAGAGAGGACTTCAGTAGTCATTCTAATGTTGTTACTGAGTCTTTTCAGTCATGTCCAACTCTTCATGACCCCATTGGACAGTTGTTGTTTGTTTGTTTTTGACAAAGATGCTAGAGTAGTTTGCCATTTCCTTCTCCAGCTCATTCTACAAATGAGGAAACTGAGACAAACAAGGTTACGTGGCTTGCCCAGGGTTACACAGCTAATAAATGTATAAGACCAGATTTGAAGTCAGGAAGATGAGTCTTGGCATCTTATAGCCTTATAACATCATTCAATTCCTCTTGCCCAATTCCAGTTTTTAAAAAAATGAGTCTTCCTTCTTTCAGGCAGAATCCACTACCTCAACCACATTCCTCTCTCAGTAATCCATTTTAGTTCTGCATAGCTTTCATTTGGAAGATTTTTTTTTTCTTCAATAAGCCTAAATTCAATTCTTTGTAACTTCCAATTCAATTTAATTCAACAAACATTAATTAAGTGCATACTATATGCAAAGTGCTGGGGAAACAAAGGTAAAAAAAAAGACAAAGTTCTTGCCCTCAGTGAACTTACTGTGTGCTAGAGGAAAGCATGTGCACGTGGATAAGCTGATATTAGACAAATGCAAAATATAAGTCTTAGCAATTTCAGCGGTTGGGGAGGGGGATGGGAGTAGGGGGCGAGGACCATTAACAACTGGGAATGGAGAGAGAGAGAGTCAGAAAAGGCCCCTTGCAGCAAAAAGTACTTGAGCCTGACCCTTGAATGGAGTGAGGTGAGAAGGAAATGAATTCATCGTGTAGGAGGAAAAACTATATGAAGACTTGGAGGTGGGAGGTATAAGGTTAGAAGTAGAATATTGTGTATAAGCAGTGGTAGGCCGGTAAACAACCAGCTCGTGGGTTGGAGGGGGTGGGGTAATGTACCTATGACACACTTTTAAGTTTAATTTGCACTGTTAACATTTTCTCCAAAGCTTTCTTAAGTCTAGACAACAAAATGATCAAGCAAACCATGATTCATGGTATTTGCTGATTTTTGAAAATTTAACAAGTGGCTTTTGCGGCTACTATGAGCTTGCTCCTGCAAAATGCTGCATGTATGGAGCAGAAAATGGGCCAGTTCGAATGAAATATTGAGTAAACGAGGGGAAATAACGTGAAATCTGTTTAGAAAGATAAATTGAACCAGATTGCAAAGGGTTTTAAATGGCAAACAAGGGAGTTTGTATTTTATTCTCCAGGTAATAAAGCTTCTAAAGCTTCTTGAGCCTGGAAATGGCATGGTCCCATCTTTGCTTTAGGACTAGGAATTTGGCAATTGGGTGGAATAAGATTAGAGTGGAGGGACCGGAGGCAGTGAGACCAATTAGAGGGCTATTGCATTCAAACCCAGCCTCAAACTCTTACCAGCTTTGTAACTCTGGGCAAACTCTTAACTTCTCTGTGCATTAGTTTCCTCATTGGTGAAA